TTTGGCGGAGGCTCACGTCATACTTACAGCAGATAAGATTACAATCAGGCTGCTGGCCAGATTTATTGTTATGATTATCCACACTTTCACAGCAGTGCTACCTGGTCCATTACACTACAGATGTATGGAGCGGGAGAAAATTCAGGCTCTGGCATTCGGCAATGATTTTGAAATGACTATTAGTTTGTCATCCTCCACTGTGACTGAGGTCAACTGGTGGGTGAATAACATAATGGTTCACAATGGCAAATTAATCTGACAAACAGATATTTCAGCCTGGATTCAGACAGATGCCATCATGGAAGGTTGGGGTGGTGTGTTTGATGACAATAAAACAGGTGGGCATTGGTCAACATCAGAGTCCCACAAACACATTAATTTTCTGGAATTGTTCAGTGTGTTTCTCTGTCTTAAGGCTTTTTTCAGTCAATCTTGTGATATTCATGAACGCATTCAATCTGACAGTGCAGCTGTAGTGGCTTACTTTAATGACATGGGGGCATGGCATCAGAAGAGTTGGATAACCTGGCTGCACAAATCTGGAATTGGTGCATGGACAGAAACATTTTTATTACTGCAAAGCATGTGCCTGGGAAAAATAACTCAGTGACAGACACACTATCTAGAGTGTTTTCAGATGATTCAGATCGGAAACTAAAACCTGAGATATTTTCTAGAACTTGTCAGTTTTCTCTCCCAGACATAGATTTGTTTGCTAATAGGCACAATTCTCAACTTGATAAATTTGTGTCTTGGAGGTTTGAACCTGGGGCCTGTGCATGTGATGCTTTCTCCATTTCCTGGACAAATCATCAGCCATACATCTTTCCACCTTTCTGTATGTTAAGTAGGGTGTTGGTAATGGTACTGAACTTATAGAGCGCTTTTCAAGTCCCTCCGGACCCCAAAGCGCTTTACACTAACAGACATTCACCCATTCACACACTGATGTGTTGATGAAAATCCGGAGGGATAGAGTTCTAAGAGCTATTATTATTGCTCCATTATGGAGAGCAGCATCTTGGTTCCCTTTGTTGATTGATGCTCTTATTGATTTTCCTGTTAGACTTCCACGTCACAATGATCTCCTGGCCCAGTTCCATCCACTTCAGAGACGGCTGATAATCACCGCCTGCAAAGTATCAGGGGTGCCCTCAAACATCAGGGACTTCAGGACTCAGTCATTGATGTCATCTGTTCCAGCTGGCGACCGGGAACTCAGAAACAGTATTTGTATGCATGGTGCAAATTCCTTGTTTGGACCATTGGACGATCATGCTGTGCCACTGAAGTGACTGAAAGCACAGTGATTGCATACTTGGACTTTCTTAAAGAGAGTGGGAGCTCATATACAGTGATTAACACTCATAAATCATGCATACTTCAGACTTTACRGGTTTTAGGTGCTACTTGGGTCTTAAATCCTAGGTGGTTGCCCAGGTACATGAAAGGATTACATCATTTACGGCCACCGAGGCCTCGTTACACTCGGACATGGGATGTCAGTAGTGTTTTGACTTATTTATCTTCTTTGTTTCCTCATCGAAGTTTAAGTTTGTAAGATTTGACATTAAAGCTTACAGCATTGCTGGCACTGGTCACAGCAGCAAGAGCTCAGACACTGGTGGCGTTAGATTTAAGTTATCTGCAAGTAGCAGGCGATCACTCTAAAGTGAATTTTTTAATTTATGAACTCACTAAAACAAGTAAGTTGGGCAAAACGATTCAGGAGATTCTTCTGGAGAGTTACTCTAAACCAGAAATTTGTGTATTGGACAMATTGTTTGAACATATGAGTCGCACTCGGGAAATAAGGACTTCAAGTAGATTGTTGATTGCATACAAGACATTTTCTGCGGTGTCTACATGCACTATAGCCAGATGGCTATGGACAGTGCTCATTAATGCAGGAATTGACCCCAATCTTACAGAGGAGCTTCTGTTTCAGCAGCATTTAACAGTGGTGTTTCACTGAAACAGATTTTGCGGACTGCAGATTGGACTTCAGTTAATACGTTTTAAAAAGTTTTACTACCGACAGTCCGGGGAAGGGACTAAGTTCTCGGATAGAATTTTGAGTTCTCATTTCAGATGATCGGAATTTTCTTTCTTAAAATAAATTTTGTTGGATTGCATCTCCATTGAGGTTGTGTGGTTGAATACTGTGAATTAGCCCACACAAGCAGTGTGATTGTCATCAGCTTTGAACATGCTGTTTACATCTCTGAGACGAAGGCGAACGTAAATGAAAAATAATGCTCCCTCATCCCAGCAGATGTGCAGGATGAGGGACATTATTTGAATTGTAGTGAGCCTGAGGTTCAGAGAACACCCACCACTTTTTTTGGAGCTAGAGTTAGGGGTTGGCTGAGACCCTCCCTTTTTTAAAAAACTTTGATGACAATCACACGTGGTGATGAAAAGTGACGGAGGCCAGGCTGGGGAGCCTACTTATGGGGTCGCTAGGCATCATGGGTAATTGCCTCTTTGAAGTAGAGACCTCGCTCTCACAATATCTCAAATGATGCTGTTTACATCTCTGAGCCTCAGGCTCACTACAATTCAAATAATGTCCCTCATCCTGCACACCTGCTGGGATGAGGGAGCATTTCTTCAGTTTTAACTTCTCTCCCTGTCAAATTTAGAATAGAATTTAAAATATTACTCCTTACATACAAAGCTCTTAACAACCAAGCTCCATCATATATTAAACATCTTATTGTTCCAYACTTTCCTAACAGAGCACTTTGCTCTCAGACTGCAGGTTTACTTGTGGTTCCTCCAGTTTCTAAAAGTAGAATGGGAGGCAGAGCTTTCAGTTGTCAAGCTCTTCTCTTGTGGAACCAACTTCCATTTTCTGTCCGTGAGGCTGACACTCTGTCTACTTTTAAGATTAGACTGAAGACTTTCCTTTTTGATAAATCATATAGTTAGACTTAGGTTTCCTGAATTATTCCTCATTTCTGCTGCTATAGACTTAGACTGCTGGAGCACAAACTGACCACATTTCCTCACTCTGTTGTTGTGTTTAATCTCTCTTCTCTTCATATTTATTGTAATTATTTCTATCAATAACATGTTTTTTTTCCTTTTTGTCTCTTTTCCAGAAGTAGGTGCACCTGGACCAGTTMTTCAGTGTCTCTTTCCTGTCCCCCAGCCCAGCCAGTCGAGGCAGATGGCCTCCTTTCCTGAGCCTGGTTCTGCTGGAGGTTTCTTCCTGATTAGCAAGGAGTTTTTCCTCTCCAACATTTGCTCAATATGGGAGACTGTGATGAACTGATTCAAAGCGGTCTGCTGGCTTCTTCTTTAGATTGTTCTTTTTTTCATGTACAGGGCACTGAGACAGAGTTTTTTGTCATTGTTACATTCCTTGTTCAGTTCTGTGACAGAAAAACAATCATCTCAAARATTGATGATGCCTGTTGTGTACAGGCATCATAAGTTCATCAGTACAGTCAATCATTATTGTTCCCCTTCCATTTGTGTGTGTGTGTGTGTGTGTGTGTGTGTGTGTGTGTGTGTGTGTGTGTGTG